ACATGATTGCTGAAGCCAAGAACAAAAGCCTAGAATAAATTTCTGGCTAACTATTTGACTACTTCTCTTATCAGGAACAGTATGTCTTATTGAAAGGATTTAGGGTTAGATCTATTGATTAAGCACAGTCAATCCCATGCATTTTTAGTAGTGTTGAAATCGGGGTCATTTCAGCAACAGAGATCCCAGACACACATCAAACCTGGTACTGGAATGGATAAAGGTGGTTCATATTAAGGTCTTGGAGTATTCCTGACCTCAGCTCTATTAAGTGTACAGATTGTGCTGAAAAGGAGGTTCTGTCTCAGGAAACCCAGCGATGTCAATAAGCTCTACTGCAGTGCAATAAGCAATGCAAAGAATAACAGGATCAACCATGTGAATATTGATCCCCATCAAGGTTCTATTGCTGCGCTTTGCTTGCTTTCATTTCTCATCTCCAGCGATTCGGATGCGAGATAAGACGTCATTCCAACAGGAAGACGCTAACAGGAATAAATCCAACACTGGTCAACTGAAAGTGTCAGTGGTGGCAGAGAGAGAAAAGAACCAGAAAGTGTTGAATGTAAATGTGAAATATATTACCCATGATACATTTAGGGTGTGAAATAAAACACACAAACGCACACCTGCCCCAGTAATCATCTGCAGTTCGCTTTCTCGTGATGGTTGGATTATGTCACCTAGCACATGGTGAGATGTGATATATGACACTATGACAGTGGCACACATAGCCTGTAACCCAATAACGCACACTATTTTCAGAATGTATGGCTTTTCCCAAAGCACAAATAGGTTTCTGGATATGCTCTGCCATAGTATGCTTACACTTGGATCCCCCTGGGAGGGTATCCATTTCTACAGCCCAGCTGGAATGAAAATGCACATTAGCTATTAGGCCTTATGACAGACTGGAGTTACTATTCTCACTGTGCAAGCATTCAGACTTTATGTGTAGCTGTCTGAACAAAGAATAAAACTGAAAAATCTCTATTTGATAAACAAGGTCAGTGATACTTTCTAAGTAGTGATTCCAGAACTGTTCTGAGTCACCTCTGCAGCTGATTATCCTCACTTGTTACTAATCAGAAAAAAGATAAAACAAGGACTCTGGAGACCATGATCTCACATATGCTAAGCTGTTCTTCAAAAGCATGATAAACATTTATTTATTGTATAGAGGGGATTTTGCTTTGAGGAGCATCTTCTCCATTCACAGTTGGAGATTGAATAAATTTAGGAGGAGTATTAAACTGTCACTTTGTTGCAGCATGAGAGTTGCTGTCCTTGTACAATGTAGCATAATACTTGGCAGGAGTCCTTTACTTACTGGAAGAATGCATTTTACTCATTCACCCCTTCTCTCTTCCAGTAAGTTAGGGACAAGCCTTCAGTTTTTCCTCCCTATGTGGTTTTGTTACATAGAATCCGGTTCATTGCTGAACATATAATAATGACTGTGACATTAAGTCCCTCTTTGCTTGTGACATCTTTAAAATTGCAACACATTGTAGTTTCAAAGTGGTAACGGAAAGGTTGCAGGAAAAAAAAAATGTCTAAATTAAATATTAGAAAATAAAAGTTGTTTAATTGGAGGATTCATTTGCTCAGAATTACCACAACAACCTTTATGAGGATAAAGTTGCTTATGTTGCGTCAATCATCACAATGTTTAGAAATCAATTTGTTAGGACAATGATGGGTTTGGAAAACATTTTGGGGGGTTTAAATACTCCCTGACTAATAACCTTGGTTGTAGACACACACTATTCATACCTGACTAATATGAGTTTTGGGAAAATAGAAAATTGAAGCAATATGTTTCCACTACTGCCTGGGTGAAATTTCTGTTTCAATTCAATGTGATTCAGAAATACTTTTTTAGATCCTAAAGAGGGATAGGATTGAGGTTCTTCAAATAGTTGTTTTAGAAGTGAAGGCTGTGGCAGGAAGGATCTCCTGTAGGGGTTTGTTTTACAGCGGTTCTGAAAAGGCCTCTGACTGAAAACACTGCTGTGATATAACGGTCTCATGAAAAGATGCTCAGGGCTGTACGTTCTGTTGAAGAATCCTTCTTTGTACCATCATCTCCTTTTGATCCACAGCCCTCTTTATCAGGTTGTTGAGCCTTTTCATGGTGGCACACCAGGGTTAGTGCTGAAGTAGTAAACACAAAGGAATAATCAAAGCACCCAAAAACATAAAACATGTCTTTTATTGCTATTGTACAGCAACCCTGTCTATGCAGGGTTGCAAAGGAGCTGGAAGCTATGGCCAGCAGCCATTAGGTCAGAGACTATCAACCCTGAAAGAGGCAACAGTCAGCTTTTCTTTAATCATTATTGCTTTTAAAGAAGGTTCAGTCTGAGTTTGTTTCAGTCTGGGTAATTTTTAATCAACAAACTTTGAACTTTCTTGTGAGACATTAAAATCATTACATTCTTCCAGTTAGTTTGAATTCAGAAGTTAAGATTTTTTCATTCCTTTTTTACACTGTTTCCCAAAATAAGCTGATTCAGATTTCTTTGTTGTAATTTTGTGGTTTTTCACTAGTATAAAAAAGGGGACATGACGTTCATTGTTCAGCAAGAAATAGAATTACAGGCATATTTCCAGCTTTGTTCCTCCTTTTTAAGTCATATTGTTGATCAAGGTTAGCTGTTTATTCTTCATAAAGCAGATTCTCAGGATTTTGTTTGGACATTTACATATTTTCAAACATGAGTATTTTGAAGTTGTCATTCTACAGACTTAAGTCACATAAAGTGTTTTTTTTTTATTTATGTAACATTTATACATTTGTACATAAACCATAAATAAAACACATTTAAGGTGTTTGAGTTGAGATAAAATAAAATGACTCAATACAATCCACAGAGTCATTTTAATAATAAGCTAAACTTGACTGCACTGTTCGATAACTGGGATCAGTTTGAATGTATGTATGATTGGACTTTTTTGTTATGTGCCTTGTTATGTGATTGTGGATGTAAATAAACTGAATTGAACTGAAGTAGATAAATCGACATAAACAATACTGAGAAAACTATTTGGGTTGAGGGAAGGTTCTTGGAAAGGCTCCCTCTTTCCTCACTCCACCTCCCGTCTCTTGACTTCATGTCTCTTCAGCTACGTCTAATTAAGAGTTTCCTAGACAACAGATAAAATGCAGTTAATGAGACACCAATGACAAGGCAGACCTTTCATGCTCAACTCCATTTGTCAAATTCTATCTTTCATTTTCTGCCTTGACAAGCAAAGTTTGTTCAACATGCTGTCTGGCTGCACACCTGTCGGCAGGCCTGAGCTGCAGATCGAGGCAGGTCACTGCTCTGGCTTGTCGTTTTGGCATAAATGCAGCTGCTGTAGCAGAGGTATGGTGGTGACGTCCAAGGTGTAACACAGGTTTGCAAACTCAAAAATTATGAATGAAGTGTAACTAGTGGTGAGAGAGGCTCCCTGGTGCTACTGCTGATGAAGGTCTTGCAAAAGTATTCATAGCCCTCAAACCTTTTCATATATTGTCAAATTACAACCACACACTTTTTTATTTCAGTTGTATGCACTGTGACGTACAAACAGAAAGTAAAATGATACATTGTTTTGACATTCTTTACAAAAAGAAATGGGGAAAAAAGTATGCAATGTATAGGTATTTATTCTCCTTGTGTCAATAGTTTGGAAAACCATCTGTGCTACTGTTAGGCCTGCATCTCTTTTAGAGGTGCTTCTCTACCAGCTGAAAGTTTTGCCCAATTGTCTTAGCAAAATAACTGGAGCTCAGTCACATGGAGAGCATCAACATAAGGCAATTTTCAAGTCTTCTTATATGCACTTGATTGGATGTAGGTCTAGGCTTTGACTAGGTCATTGTAGCATGAATTTGCTTTGACCTGAGCTATCCCATTGGAACTCTGGCAGTAGGTTCAGTGTAATTGTCCTGCTGGAATTTTAAACTCCCCCTGATTCTCTACTGTTTTCAGCCATTAACAAACTGTGATGCAGAATGATGCTGCCACCACCGTGTTTCTCAGGTTTGGATTGTTTAGTGATAGGTTCTTTTAGGGAAATAATATGTTGCTCTTTTCTGGCCACAGCACCTTCTTTCACATGTTTGCTTTGCCGCCTGAATGCCCTGACTCAGACTTTACATGGGAGGTTTATTTATTCCATCTACGGCTTCTTCTTACCAGATTTGAGGATTAATCAACTAAAAGTAATCTTGTCTGCTGCTCATTTTGAGCTACCATGAGCCTCTTTGCTGCTTCTCTGACCATATCTTGTTCAGCCTGTCAGCAGTAACAAAGATTTGATTTTTGATATTATTTTAAATGTCGTCATCAGCACATTCAAACTTTCATTGTTTGATTTAGTCATGTCTATTAATTAGTGTGACGGGGTTCTCTTATGCTTGGACAAACAAAAAAATGACTGCCCAAGGCCAGAGATCACTTTAGTGAAATATATTCAGTTCTTCAAGTGAGCAAAAAGGTGGCAGGTGAAGAATATATATACAGGGACGTCCAGGCAGGTTAAAAACAGACAAAACAACAGTACCTTCGAGGTAAGAGTCCATCACCTTCGCTGTGATCTGGCAGGAGTCTAGCCACAGACGGCCTCCCTGTGGCGCAGAGCCCTGCTTTTAAAGCCACAGGCTCCGCCCACAGAAAGACCAATCAAGCAAACAAAACAATTAAACAATTACTTCTAACTCAGATGAAGTCTTAAAGGATACAAAACAATCATAATAATAAAGAAAATAAATAAACTTGTAATCAAAAATACAATAATCAATTTAATAGAGAACACTCAGTATACTTCAATGACGTCATCACGACTCCCTCCCGGCGCGCCACAATCCGGAAATAACCCTTATTGACAACAAAACCGGGAAAATGTTTGGAAGTGAAAACAGATTAGGATGGATACGCTAACCGAAGCAGGAACACCGCCACGATGAACCGCATCAGTTTAACCTGTAACAGAAGTAAGTTAGCGATTGTGTGTGGGCGTGTTGACACAGATAATTAAGTCCCGGGTCGTGACGGCTCCTCCGTCACATTAGACACTAGAGAAAATGAAATGTCATTGTTTTGGAGGAAATATTTCCTGGGTGCACACACTGTGGAGAATGGCATCTGTTTTGTGAACGTTTATCTCAGGAGGTAATGAAGCAGCTTCTGTTCCCTGATTTAAGCTTTGCTACCACTCATTGGGTCCAGAAGTGAAATAGAAAGTTCTGCAGTGTGCTTTCAGCTCTCACATATGCTTCTGCTGTAAGTTGCTAGTGAACCAAAAGGTGTTGTTGAAGAATAAGTGGATAATGATGATTGAGAGCATCTTTAATGAGCAGAGCGAGCCAGAGAGGAGTCATTTTGTCAGACAGCAGGAAGCCAATGACCTGTGGGGATATTAAACAGGTAAAGTGTTTTGACTCCATTTCTTTGTCCAGTTCTTAAACTACTTCTAAAAATAATCACAGAGCATTGCAAAAGTATTCACGCCATAGGATTTTTTTTAACATTTTGATTTTGTTTTTTTACAGCTACAAATCTGAAAGGTGTGGCCTGCATTTGCAGTTGATCCCCTTAATTTTACATAAATGACATTATACAATAGAAGACAAACGACATCATGAAGACGAAGGAACACGGCAGACAGAGACGTTTAAAGCAGGGCTGAGTTCTAAAACAGTATCCTGAGCTTTGAACATCTCAGAGTTCTGTTAATCACCAGAACTCTGAGATTTTGACTCAAGGGAACATTTATCACGACATGACCTTCCACTTTGACTGATGGGCAAGCAGAAATTTTAAGAGAAAAAGCTAAAAGATGCATGTTGACTCTGCGTAAGCTGCAGAGATCCACAGCTTAAGTGGTGGAGTCTGCAGGCGGGACAACGGGGAGTCTTGCACTCCACAAATCTGACCGTTATAGAAGAGTTAGAAAATGAAAAGACATTATAAAAAAGCACTGGTCATTTCTTTTGAAGTTTTCCACAAGTTATGTAAAATGAACAAAAATCAGTTAAAAGAAGGTGATGAGGTTTGTGGCTTACATGCTAATCAATGTTACACAACGCCCTTCCCACAGTGTAACAGGGTGGTGGCAGCATTATGCTAATGACTCCTTCAGTAGAGAGTTTATGAAAAGATGTGTGGAGCTAAATACAGGGCAATACAGTGGCAAGTCTCTGGCTTAGAATAAACCTATTAGAGTTTGAAACACTAGATATGGAGGAGAAGGTTCATCTTCCAGGAGAATCAGAACCTCCAACATACTGCTGGAGCTACAACAGAACTTTTTAGATCAACAGTCTGTAACTCAAGTGCCACTGTTCTGCAACTTTTGGATGCAACTCTGCACTAACACACCTGACTTAAATTAATGGCTGACATGCCAATTGGGTAAATCAACCTTTTGATTCTGGTGTGTTGGAGCTGGAATGCAGCCAAAAGCTACAGAATAGTGGCAGACCTCTGGTTTAAATGAAAGCATATATCAATGTCTTAGAATGGCCTAGTCAAAGTGCAGATCAAAATCCAAGACAGAACCAGCAGCAAGACTGGAAAATCCATGTTCACAGATGTTTTCTGTCAAATCTGACTGATCTTCAGCTGAGAATATAAAGCCATAAATCATTTTCCTTCCACTTCATGATGACCTTCTCCTCTCTGTCGGTTTATCACATAAAATCCCTAAAATTCATTCAAATCTGTGAATTTAATATGATGAAGTTTGAAGTTCAAGGGGGGTTAATACTTATACTATGCACCTTAACAAGGGACCTGCTGAGTTTAATAACGCCTCACCAGATGTTGGTCATTGAGACTTTGTATGCAGGAGGATATAAAATTACGGGAGGAGTGAACAATTACAAGCAGTTCCCTATAAAAGGAGATTCATCAAATCCCTCCCTAATAAATAAATAACTATATGGAATAAACATAAACTTACCACCTTTTAAAGGAATATGTTTAAATTATCTTTTCAGTGACGGTGTCAGTCGTGTTGACAGAGCCGTGTGTTCAAATGAGAATTAATCTAAAAAATTCAATTCACGTCTTGATTCTGTGTTTAATGAGTGTATCAGAACAACATAACTCAGGTAGTCAACTGTTTCCCCTTATGAAATCATAAGGGGAATATCATATTTCCTCCTCTAACTAATTTATATGCCAACCAAATTCATTCATAATTCAAGTTAAAAGTTCCAACAGAAATTGCCTGAAGAAGTTAATGGAACATTTTAGACATTAATCTAAAAAAGTTTGTATTTGACCTTGTTAGAACTTTTCCCACAGCAAAGTCCTTTTAACCAGAGTTACACTGTTTCCTATAAGTCTTTTTATTTTATTATTTTTAGTACATTTTTATGTAATTTGATGTCTGGAAATGAGTTTTTCTCTTTTCTTTTTTTAATAATCCATCAGTGTGTACAGGATCCAGAAGTTCTTCAATAACTATAAATAATTAAATTGTTTGTGTAAATTGCATGTTTTAAAGTCATCATCATGCAATAATTGAAATATCAATATTTTCTTTCTTATTTTAAGCATTTTACACTGTTTAAGCTTGAACTTGACCTCAAATGAAGTTATGATGTCAAATGTTTGATAAGAAATAAAAACACAAAACTATGATTAAAACTTGTATGGTGCAATATTTATAAGCCTTCATAAGTGATTAGAAATTCTGCTACAAGTTATTAATCACAGAGCAAGCCTGTGATTAATAACCTCTATTTCTGTAATAAAAACGATGTCTGGACCAGTCAGTCTTTAGTCTGTGATTCTGACAGAGCTGGGAATGAACCTGCCAGCTTTAAGACACTGCTTTACTTGCAGACAGCACCCCTTCCCCCCAAAAATGTCAATTTTCCTCTTTCTCTAATCCTCAAATTGGCACTCATGTGAACTTCTAGCCTATACTTGCTTAGTTTAGCACAGCCAGCCCCTTGGCAAGTATCTGTTCTCAAAGCTCTGGACTAGTACTTAAATTGTTAGCACAGTGAGGTTTTGACCAGGGGGCCCAGGAGGCTTCAACAGTTTGCATTTTTGCAAGATTTTGGTTTGACTGCTCAAGGGAACAACAGGTTTGGGTTTGCAGGACGTTACAAAAAAGGATCAGATGATTTGGTCTTTATGTTGGTCTGCTCTTAGTTAATTAGGTATAAGCATAGCTAAAGTACTAAGTGGAAATTTTCTTTCATAATTGTATCAGTTTGTATTTTCTTTAGCTTTTCTTCTTCGTCTTTTACTTTGACAACTCATCTTTCAGTGAAATATAAACAAGGTTAAGACATTTCCATTCTGTCCTGGAGAAGAAGAAAATGGTTCAGATTTAGTCAACAAACTAATGTACACAAGCTGTCATCTAGACTTATTAGCTGAGCACATGAAAATCTGCTGTGATTGTTAAATACTGATGGTGCAAAACCGAACTGACGTCATCAGGAATGAGAGGCCAATTGTTTATATCAGGATTTGAGTTTCAAATGTACCAGGCAGATAAAAAGGCCATGATCAACAAATTCATCACTTGAACTGTTATATATTTTTTTTAATTCTGCTGTCCTATTTGAATTTTTTTATGATTTTATATAACTTTAAGCAAATTAAAGGGGTAAATGTGTAAGGACAAATTCAGACTAACATTAGTAATTGTACAAATTATAGTGTGATTTCAAATAGATGGGGTCTGCAGTAAATTTAGAGATAATTCCTCACAAATGGTGACAAACTCTTCTGAGCCATTTCTGGCTAATTTCACTGATTCTGTCTTGGAGCGATTCAGCTGCTGCTTCGTGATCAGCTACCAATCCTTGTAGCTGTGTTTAGAGCAAAAAATGGATCTTTGATCAGTCCTAATTGCAGTGTTTGAATATGTTCTCCAGTCTGGCTTGCCACAGATCAAACTGTAATTTTCTCCAAATATCCAGCTGTCCAGCATACAGATGTGACTACAAAGCAGCCTGGAGCTGCCGTCCACAGCTGTGAGGAGGAGTTTGAAATAGACGTGGTTCATCTGTCAACACATGGTCTCCAGCCAGAAGGGGAGGCTGGAACTGACTGGATGAAATGTTTTCCAGCCTTTTCTTTCCTCCTTCTTCAATTTGCTGTTGGTATTTGCATCAACATTTTTGAATTTTAATTTGGATCTCCTCTGGTGTTTTGCTTTGTTCTCAGGGAAAAGCAAAAACTAATGATGCCAACTTTAGCCCTATTTGCAGGGGATGGGCATTATCTAGGGGCGCCGTGTGATAAATCAGTTACTCCCCAATGTGGCGGGATAACCGAAGCCTCAGATTTTGCTGAAATGTATGGTCATCTTCCAGATATAATGTGGATATGCTGTTTCGAGTTGATTGAAGGAGTGACTTGAGTTTATGTTAAATCTACTTTTCTGGCTGCAGGCTATAGCTCAGTGCACTAGGCAGCTGTATAACAGGAGGCTACAAACAGAAGAAAATGATTCTTACCGAACAGTGTAATGCATGATGTGAGCCACCATTTGCATCCTTCTCTTCGGCTTTTTCTTTTTGATGCTGTATGTTACAAGTCGATGGGGTTTTGCTGGACTGGGAACCTCCCATTCTTAGCCCAAAAGCAAATAAAAATACGCCCAGGAAAGCAAAAATGGCCCAGTTAAGTTTCGGACTCCACCCATTTCTGTCCAACTCACAGAGATGCCTATTCTTATTGGATTGGTTTCATTACAGGACCTTGGAGTTCAGCAATATATAGTAGGTCATTGGCTTGGAAAGTCTCTGCAGTTATTGCAAATAGCATGTGATCCCTGTGAAAAACTAATCCTGTGCAAAAGCAATTTTGCCTTCTTTACTTTTACAAATTAAATCAACAGATTTTTTTGCCTGATATTCTCTAGAATCTGAATTAAACACTCAGACTTAAATTTTTAGAGGGTCAACACAAATAGATGGCTGCAGTTGAGAGTGACACTTAATCTTACATTTCCTGGATGCCAAACACAACTGTGGGTACTAATTAGAGACTAAACAGAATCACTGAGGGGTGAGGAGGCATTGTAATATGAGGAGAGGTCTTATGTGTGTTTCTGTCTCTGTGCAGGATGGACCCAAAGCCTGGGGTGTTAAAAAAATGAAACTTCAGCATAGCTTTGGTGTCTGAGCTTTTCACACATCACATGTGCACACACACTTCTGTCTTTCCTATCATTAGCAGCCTGCAGCTGTGGCTTTGGAAAACCTTATCACAATTTGTAATCGCCTCTGCAGTAACACTTTGTACATTTCATTTCGGAAATGTTTCATAGTTGTTACTGCAGTTGTATCTGCCATGGCTCGAGGGCTTCTTGTTCTTTCCACCTGACTGTAAACATTGGCTATTTTCAGTTCACTGGAAACTGAAGTATTTTCTTATCTGGAAACTGTGTGATCTTTGAGTTATGTAAAAACAAAATTCTGAGATTTCTAAAGTGAATGTGCTTCTTGATGCAGAAAATGGTTGTCTTAACACTGTTTAACAATCTAGTAAGCACACAAACATGCATTATGGATTGTTCTGAAGAACATTAATCAGATTTTTGTTCTGCAGACAGATTTACCGACATGAGGTGTATCAGGTTGGGTCATCTGATATGATGGACAGATGTCCGATGTGACCTCTGCAGCAGGTGTTGACAGATGTTTCTCTTCTTCTCATGGTTGAAGTTGACCCTTTGGTTAGACCATGGAGACCTTGGACCAGATGACTCTTTCAGCCCCTCCCCCAACAGCGTCTCATGCCTCCAGTGGGTTTAGGGTTACTGTCATGGTTTTCCTGCATCAGGGAAATGAAGGATTAATACTTTGGAGGTCTAAAATGGCATTTAGACATGTGAGTGTGTCTGACTTACCCTGTGATGGACTGAATGACGTCAGTTCCTTCACCTCTGAGTAGGTGATGAACTTGGATTAATAAAGTGTTTTATTTTTATGTTACTGCAAGAAACAAACACAAAAGCTTCATTTAATCACTTAGGCAGAGTTTACTTTTAAAACTATACCATCAGAGGTCTTAGTTGCATATTGAAGATGATCAGGAGTATTGGAAGATTTTTAGATTTTACATTTTATTTTCATTCAGGGAAATCCTTCAGAAACCTTTTTTTTTTTTTTGGATAATAGTAAAGAAAACTTCAAGTTTCAATATATTTTTCCTCTCTTTATCAAGCTGTTCTCACTTTCATAAGCTCACCATTTTTTTTATTTGTCAAGACGAATAAAAATTATTTCTTTTTTATTGTAAAATCTGCCTTAAAAAATCTAAATATTTAGGTTGTTTCTCAGTACCACAGCTGTGGTATCTCTCCTCTGATTAGTTCATCTATTAAAACTGTCATAAATAAATGATTCAAACAAGGACTTGTTTGGTAGCGATCTTGGCTGTACTAGATTTGACTTTTTACGCTACTTTGCACATAATTTTCTTCATTTATGTAATATTGACACTGTTCTAGTCCAATTTGTTTTACCAACATCATCTGTGGACTGATTTGCTTAATTTGTTTTTTTGTGTGTGTGTTAATTATTTGGCTTGCTAT